CCTTTAACATGTTCCAGCCTGGACCACAAGAAACAGAGAGGAGAGAGACTGAAGTTCTTCCCTGGAGTTTGGCCAATAGGAGGGAGGAGGTGAGGAAAAGTGAGAGGTGGAAGCTGGAGGCAGGGAACACATGCCAGCTGTTTAAGAAACTTAACTGAACAAAAAAGGAGTTCTGTGTGTATGTGACATACGGTCATATTTATATGGTAATGTACAGTGGAGCTGTGTTAATTTTGAGATCTGAAACCTACCTTAAACACTTATGATAGATAAAAAAACTATGGTTGATGTATACATAATAAAACATTTGTAGTTTCAGCATTCTTCACATGTCAATTCATTGACATGAATTATATTTTTAACTACTGGCATTATCTTCTTTTAAAGTTTTGCATTATAGATTCTTAATAGATATTCCATGCTCCCTAAGCAGTAAACACCCTCCACCCCTCCTCCTGCCTGTCTGGGTTGTCCTCTTGAGCAAAAAGAGACAATGAAGATAAAATATTTAAGTTTCCAGGGAAGAGAAGGGCCTCTTGACTTGGAAGGGTCTTTGGGTAGTTGGGAGGACCTGGGATGGAGAGCTCATGTGAATGGACTGACTGACAAGGAGTGCCATGCATATTTTCTGAAATAGAAGGAAGAAGGAAGGGGTGATAAGAAAAAATATATATATATCTCACATTTTTAGATGATAAAGGCAGGAAATTAGAACAGTCCACTCGATGACCTTTATTGTCTCTGAGAAACACAAAGCAAGCCTATTTATAGAGCAAGGGAACTGTGGGTGTGGGATTGAATCTTGAAATATCCCAAAATGAGACTGGTGAGAGAATTGACAGTAAGCGTAAAAGACATCAAAGATTGTGGAGTACAATTTTCTGTGTCTCTTTCTTTATCCAGTTGAAGAAAATGAAACCCACCCCCATTACTGTCATGTTGGCTCTGACTCAGAATGACCGTATTTAATAACCCATAGGAAACTCACTTCTGTTCAGTCTATTCTGATTGCTAGTGACCCTGTGGGACACAGTAGAGCTGCATGATAGAGTTTCCACAGCTGTATATCTTTGAGAAAGGGAACCACTTCCTTCTTCTCCTGTGGAGTGACTGCATTTGAAGTGCTGATGCTTTGATTAGCAGCAGGATGTCTTAAAACTCCTTAACTGCAGTGCTACTTGAGTTCCTAATGACTGCATTGTTGTTAAGTTCTACATATTGGTTCCAAGCTTAGTAAAGTATAAAAGAAGAAAAAAAAATCCAAAAGCGACATTGCTCAGTCTTTTTGAGCACCTTCTGACAGCCTAGTGGGTAAGGAGTTAACGCTACCAACCCAAACACAGGCAGTTCATGTCCATCAGTGGCTGTGACAGAGAAAGATGGCGTTCTCCTTCCATGAAGTTTATAGCTTCTGAAAACCAGCTGGAGGTTCAGCTATGAGTTCACCCCAACTCGGCAATAGTGGGAGAGAGAGAAAGAGAGAGAACCTATCAATGTACCTGCTGCTGCCAATTCAAATTCACCTCAACCCTGTCTTTCTCCTTTGAACCTTCAGCCTTCCAGTGAGCAGCCCAATACTTAATCCACTGTACCACCAGGGCTCCTTAGTATATTTTTCATTTATCTTTCATGGTGCAGATTACTAAAGAGGAAAATGAGATTACTAAATGGAATGGACTAATGAGAGAAATTTTCAGTTCAGGGAAAATATGTAAAGAAGTGAAGCTAGTTAGCTTCTGGTACTAAGTTAATGAGAAGAGAAGTGTAGAGGGGAGGGAGACCTGGCTGCTAGAGAGCTATGGCCAGCATTGCCTTTTGAAAATGAAGGGTTGACACTTAAGGCAAATCCAGATTATATTCTTGAGTTAGTTACGGGGACTGAAGGGGAGAGAGATTTAGGTTTTGTATCTTTAGACAGTGGGGAGTCACCATGTTACTGTTGTTGTTGTTATGTGCCGTCGAGTCACTTGCGACTCATAATGACCCTATGTACAACAGCCCTAAATGCTGCTCTGTCCTATGCCAGTCACACTGTCTCCGACACACCCATCCAGATTACCCCAGCCATTGAATCAATCCACCTCATAGAGGGCCTTCCTCTCCTGTGCTGTCCCTCCACCCTACCAAGCATAATGTCCCACTCCAAGGACTGGTCCCTCCTTACAACATGTCCAGAGTATGTCAGATGAAGCCTCAGAATCCTTGCCTCCAAGGAACCGCCCGGTTTAACCTTCTCCAGGATGAACCTGTTTGTTTTCTTAGCAGTCCATGATACATTCAATACTCTTCTCCAGCACCACAGCTCAAAGGCATCAATTCTCCCTATCCTTCCTAGTTATTGTCCAATTCTCTGATGCATAACTAGTGATTGTAAAGACTATGGCCTGTATCAGACACACCTTGGTCTCCAGAGAGAAACGAGTGCTCTTCAGTACTTTGGTGAGGTCCCTAACAGAGACTCTCCCATCACAATACGTCTTAATTTCCTGGCTGCTGTTGCCAAGAGTATTGACTGTGAAGCCAAGCAAACTAAAGCTGTGAAGAACTCAATCTCTTCACCATCCATCCTGATGCTGCCAATTGGTCCAGTGGTGAGACTCTTTATCTTCTTGACATTGAGCCTCAATCCATATTGAAGGCTGGAGTTGCCATATACTCACTCAAATCCTCAGTGCTGGTGCCCAGACTTAGTGATATTTGGGGAATTAGCATCAGGTTTTCAAAGAACACAGGGAGCCTTGAATATTGAGTATTTGAAGAGGATGGCCATTTGTGTTTCAGACAACGAAGGACAATCTGAAAATACTAGTGGAACACTGACCATGCTTTTCAATTCTTTTCTGTGGAGGTCTGTATAGTTTTCACTTGATGGACTCGAAAGATTTTTTGCCTTGGCAGGCTTAATGCGGTTCACACAAGACTAGGAAGTGGTGGGAGACCTTTTGAAAGATGCCAAGTCATCTTGCTCCAGAGAACATAGTAGAAATTCAGGGGAGGGTGTCTAACAGTGGGGAAAGAGATGTGAAATAGTACAAGATCGTATAATATAGGTGTGCTGTCTTCGATTCTCCTCTCTGACCTAACAGCAACTGGACCAATAGGACAACATCATGATAGATGGAAAAAAGATTGAAATTGTCGACAGTTTGGACAAGAAGATACAAGTGTCACTGATGTCACATGACATAGAGTCATATAGACCTAGAGTTGCACTGCCAAACCAAAAACATGCAGTTCAAACCCACCAGCTAGTGGGAGAAAGGTGGGCTGTCTCTTGCTATTTAAAGCCTCTGAAAACTCACTGGAATGTGGATTATATGTTGATTCCAGCTCATGGAAATGTGGGAGTTGGGGAGAGAAAATGGGGGGGAGAAAGAAGAAAGAAATGGCCAGTGAAGGCTTTGGCCTAAATGTTTTTAATTTTAAATTTGTCAGTCGTTTGTCCCTGGCATTTTTTTTCCCCTTCATAATTTCAGAGAATTCATTTTCTCTAAAGAGCTTATCTAAGGAATTAGAAACACTTGGAAAATAGTCTAAGTCTTGATAATTTTGAACTGACTGACCTATCTCAGATTGTGTAAATTTATTGTTT